TTCTGCATGGAGCACTGGGTGTTATGCACGAACAATGAATCATGGAACACTTCATCTAGAACTAATGATGTAATGTATGGGGATTAACATAAGAATAGAAAAAAATAGTATAGAATGATATAAATAGTAAAATATTAAAATTTCTAAACAATTATTTATGGAAATTATATCAAATTTCTCTTCTTATATATCTGTGTCTTATTATCATACTATCTGTTAGCTTGTAAATTATATTACAATCTCTTCCAGATTTTAAATTTGTTGAGCTCAGGAGATTGTGTTTTTCCCTGTGATTTTAGGAGATTATATATTATAATAAAGGGCTTATTTCTTTGGACCTATAAGAAATATTATCCAACATACAGAGATGCAGTATTCCCTAATATAAAATAACTTATTCATTAATATTTAGAATATAATTGGAAATTTCAATTTGTCTGTTTATTGTCTCTAATTGCTATGAAAATGAATCTCATGCAGGGGTGGGGCATCACTGGCCTCTCAGGCCATTTTTGGATATCAGAATTATAAGAATGTACTACTGGCATTTTGTTGCTGGGGCCAGAGACTAGACATCTTGCCTTGCACACAACTCTCTGCATAGTAAATAATTATCAGGTCTTGCTGTGTATTTGAATGTTCTTCCAGACATTTATGAAATGAAACATATGCTCATAATAATTAGTCAGGTTTTACTTAGTTTTCACAAATACATAGTAATTTTTGGTACAGTTTTAATTTTCTGAATTTTCCAGAAATGTAGCTACCACGGATAATGGAGGAAAGATTTTTTTTTATTATGTTATGTTAATCACCATACATTACATCATTAGTTTTTGATGTAGTGTTCCATGATTCATTGTTTATGCATAACACCCAGTGCTCCATTCAGTACGTGCCCTCTTTAATACCCATCACCAGGCTAACCCATTCCCCCAACCCCCCTCCCCTCTAGAACCCTCAGTTTGTTTTTCAGAGACAGTCTCTCATGGTTCGTCTCCTTGGAGGAAAGATTTTATTCTGTTTTCCTCAGAACTTTACCAAGAGTTGTTCATTCCTTTGGAAAAGCACAGTATCAATGTCAATACCATCTGTGGCATTAAAATACAATACAACACACCTGTAAACAGTATTTGTAGCAGTTGTATTCAGGTAGGATACTAGATATAGGTGCCCACATCAGACTGCCTGATTTGTCTCCTTTTGTGATCATCTCTGAGCATTTATATATTAAAATATATTACTTTATTATAAATAACTTTCTCCTTCATTATCATTTATGTTACAGTTAGAATACTATATATATAATACTGTAGGAGGGTTATATTATCTGTAAATTTTATTTTAGAATGGTAAAAGTATTACCAAATATTTGGGATAAAAAGTAAGGTTTGGGGTCTGCAAGCATTGAGACCAATTGAGCTAGCACAGAATCACTTTATTATTTTTTTTAAAGATTTTATGGATTTATTTGACAAAGACAGACACAGCGAGAGAGGGAATACAAGCAGAGGGAGTGGGAGAGGGATAAGCAGGCTTCCAGTGGAGCAGGGAGCCAGATTCAGGACTTGATCCCAGGATCCTGGGATCATGACCTGAGCTGAAGGCAGATGCTTAATGACTGAGCCAGCCAGGTGCCCCCAGAATCACTTTAAAGGGGAGATTTACCAATTATGACATTATGAACAGAAAAAATATTCCTATATTTTGGGAATACTTTTTTTTTAGAGAGAGAGAGTGCAT